GGTGAGCTTTCTACCCGGAAAAGCTCACCGGAAGCGCTTTTTTACCAAAAAAAGATGGCGGCGCCCAGCAACCAGCGGCCCGGTAAGGCTTGTTCCGCGGCCCGGTACCGGTCCGCGGACCGGCGGTTGGGGACCCCTGTCCTAAGGCATGCCCATCTAAGGTATACAGTACTGTAATCATTTGGACTAGAAACTTGGACTTTACTAGTGCACTTTCAATATTACGCAAAAATCACAGGGGGCATAACCTCACACTGACAGCAGGGAAGTTCAAAAGTAATGTTGGAAAGTATTATACTTCACAGAAAGAAGAAGTGGGAGCTTAGAACCAACTTCCAGCGGAGTTAGTGGGTCAGTTATCAGTAACTGAGTTTAAACATGCTTGGGATAAACACTTGTCCATCATCCAACAAAAATAAAAAATTAAATAAACGTTAATAAAATATATGTATAATTAAAAATGATAATGAATATAATAATACTGTATATATAACAAAGTGAAAAGAAAACAAACCAAAAAACAAACAAAAAAACTCAAAGCACAGACTCAATAGACTACTACCGTGTTTCTCATATAATAAGGCCGGGTCTTTTTTTTTTTTTTGAGCCCCTGAAAAAATGGCTAGGCCGTCTTTTCGGGGGTGACTTAATTCCCCCCCCCCCTTGCATCTTTGGGTGGGCAGGCGGTGACAGCTTGGATGTTGACCTCGGCATTGGTGGGGCACTTCGTACCGGGATCAACACAGGCAGCACCATATCTGGGTGTGCAACAAAAGTACTTCCTAATGGCAAGCCCCCCCCACCATTCCCCCCCTTTTCGCATGTTTTAATATAGGCCTTAATTTGGGGGGAGGGGCTTAATTTCATTTCATGCCTATAAAACATGCTGGGACTTCCTATTGGGGGAGGCCGTATTGTTGGAGAAACAGGGTAGGTCTTTTTCTGCTATTAGTTTTCTCTGTATCTATCAACTCCTGCAACTGGGATATCCTGGCCAAAACATAGAACAAACAGATACCTTTAAGAAAAGAGGCACATTTTTCAAAAAAAATTGAGGAGAAACAGTCTATCATTATAGTACTGGCCATCGTGTTCTAAGAAGAGACATCAGCTTATAATATTCAAGGGGCTAAAGTGAAATAATCTAACAGTACTGCCATTAGAGGCAGTCTTCGACTTACAACAGTTCATTTGGTGACCGTTCAAAGTGACAACAGCCCTGAAAAAAAGTAACTTACGCCAGTTTTTCACACTTACATCTGTTGCAGCATCCCCCATGGTCATGTGATTAAAATTTTGGATGCTTGGCAACTGGTTCACATTTATGACGGTCGCAGTGTCCCAGGATGATGTGATCATCTTTTGGGACCTCCTGACAAGCAGTGTCAAAGGGGGGAAGCCAGATTCACCTCACAACCGTGTTACTAACTTAACAGCTGCAGTGATTCACTTAACAGCTGTGGCAAGAAAAGTTGTCAAATGGAGCAAAACTCACTCAACCAGTGTCTCAGCAACATAAATTTTAAGCATAGTTGTGCTCGTTAATCGAGGACTACCTGCATTTTTAACCATTAATCCAATACTATTTTTGGCTTGTGATAAAGATAGGACTGCTTCTAGTTTAGCAGCATGACCTAACCCAACAAAAGATACCTGCAACAAAAATTGGAGTTCGTTTCTTTCTGATTTCCAATGTTCTGCCTGAGACCTAAACTCTTCTTCTGCCACTTTCATGATCTCTGACTCTATCACGTTCTTCTGTTCCTTCTGGCATTCCAATGTCTCCTTGGTGTAGACACAGGGTAAAATGAACTTAATCGTAACATACTGTAGGCTTTACATATAGCTATATAAATATATACAGACGGGAATTAATTAAAGCTATCAAACATTGTGTTGTAGATCCATGTTATTCCCATTTCCTAATTTTACCCAGGGAGAGGAGAAAACCATTTTATATACTGAGAGCATTTGCATCAAGACAAATTCCTTGTGTGTCCAACCACATTTGGCCAATAAAGAACTCTATTCTATTCTATTCTATTCTATTCTATTCTATTCTATTCTATTC